TTATACAATTTCTGCCTCAGATGTGCATATAAGATTAGTACTTCGAATTTAGGCTAAAAAAAGTGTTAGTTTTTAAAGGCGAAAATTATCCCACTTCTAAATTCTGTTACTTAAAATAGTTCATATGCATGGGCACACACATTTGTGCACACATGCACACACACATGCATGACTTGAGGTAAATATAATACAGCATGATAGCAGCAGAGTCTTCTGGAATGTGACAGTACTATGGATCTTTAATACTTGTGCATATCTATGAAATTAAAAAAAATTTGTGTGTGTGTATGAGTGTATTATTGCTTACCTGCATGTTAAGTTCACCTGTGTTGTACAGTGCCCGCAGGGGTCAGAAGAGGGCATCAGATCCCCTGGAACTGGAGTTACAAACAGTTGTTAGCTGCCATGTTGGTGGGTGTTGGGAACTGAACCTGGGTCCTCTGCAAGAATGCCCAGTACTCTTAACCGCTGAGCCATCTCTCCAGCTCCTCTACTAAAATTTTTAACTGCTGCTCTTTTACTCTTTTAGATTGATGACCTGAGGGGTTTGGTGCCCACAATAGAACTTTTGGCCTTTTGGGGATTTGGTATGTTTGATGCACTGTTTGAGGATGAATTTGGTGGAAAAAGTACTGTAAAGAGAGAATTAACCTGGTAAGAAGAGGATGATGGAAAAAGACGTAAAAAGAAAACAGGTGGTAGAGGATTTGAAATGATTTTAGATTTCCTACCTTCTATTGATGGAATTACCTCCAAGGAATCCTGGTTTAAGCTGTTTTTCCTCTCTTGAAGATCTCTAGCAAGAAGCCCATTTATTTGTGAAGGAAAACTAAAGTAGTGCTTATAAAGAAGAGGAGAAGAGGTCAATCTCAGAGGAAGAAAGAAAGGCAGACCAAATACAACATATGCTGGGTGGAAGAAACCTGGGCTAGAGGGCAGAGGGCCCAAACTTTGATATGTTCATAGTATAGTACTTCAACCTTCCTGGGCTTGTCTTTGAATCTTTAATTCTTTGCTTCTAAGATTGTATAGTAGATATGTGAAGTCATAAAAAACAGTGAGATTTGGTTTTTTTTTAAATTTAAAAAAAATTTGCTTTTATTTTATGTGTATGTGTGTATTACCTGCATGTAGGTAAGTGCACCCGTGTCGTGCAATGCCCGTGGAGATTAGAAGAGGCTGTCGGATCCCCTGGGACTGGAGTTATGGACAGTTGTTAGCTGCCATGTGGGTACTGGGATTCGAACCCAGGTCTTCTGCAAGAACAACCAGTGTTATTAACTGCTAAGCCATCTCTCCAGCCCCGATTGTTTTTTTTTAAAGTGAAAGAAGTTGAGAATGTGAGAGCAGTGGAGTAAGCCTTAAATAGAGAACTGTTTGGATTAGATATGCGGTGATAGAGGGGAAGACAAATTCTATCTGAAAGGAGACTATCTGTGGAAGGTGAGCTCTGGGACAGAGAGGAGAAGCAAAAGGGAGCGACTCAGTTGATAGAATTGGGTGGATTTTTTTTTTGTTGTTGTTGTTTGTTTGTTTTTTTTTTGTTTTGTTTTTGGTCTTTTTGAGATAGGGTCTCCCTGTAGTCCCAGCTGTCCTGGAACTTACTATGTAGACCAGGCTGGCCTTGAACTCACAGAGATCCGCCTGCCTCTGCCTCCCAAGTGCTAGACTCAGTTGATTGAATTGGGTGTTTTTTTTTTAAATTTTTTTTTTTTTTTTTTACTTTTGTTGTTTGTGCTCTTGCTACATATTCACTTTCCTTGCTTGTTATAATCTGTGTATTAAAATCTCCTGTTCTCCATATCTGTGCTTCCAGTATGATTTGTATGCAAGGACCAACATTTTTTTTCCTTCTTCCTTAGAATAAAGGGGCCGGAGAGTTGGCTCTGCAGTTAAGAGCATGTACTACTTACTCTCGAGAGAACCCGAGATCGGTTATCAGCACCCATGTTGAGTGACTCACAATTGACTGTAACTCCAGCCTCAGGCAATCCAACACTCTCTTCTGATCTCCAGAGACATTTCCATTTAAATGCACATACCCACACACAGACACACTCATACACAAAATTAAAAATAAAAACAAAGCTTTAAAAAAAGAGTAAAGGTGAAAATAGTGGAAATACGTATATTTAAACTTTTATTATGTTTAGTTATTTGTATGTGTGCTCATTCATGTATGGGTGTATGTGTGGAGGTCAGAGGATAACTTGCACGAATCATTTCTCTCCTTTGACTGTATAGGTCCTAAGGATTGAACTCAAGTTCTTAGGTTGGCAACAAGTACCTTTAACCACTGAGCCATCTTGCAAACCTAGGAAATATGTATATTCAATGCATTTTATGGAGCAGATATTTTGCACCTTTTGCAGTGCTTAGTTGTTCTTATTCTGGAAATTTAGGCAAAGGCCCTAGGGCTCTGGTTCAGTGGTAGTGATGAAAGACCTGATTTTTGTAGTAAGGTAGCACAGGCTTTCCCACACACCCACTAACCTTCACTCCCAAATCAGTTGCAACTAGCTTTAGCATTTTTACCTTTTCTAGTTGTAAGGCAATTGAAGGAGACCTGGCATGCTGGTGAATGCTGGGAGACTAGCCCCCCAGAGTCCCCCAGAGTGAATTGTAAAGTTCACTCTCACTTTAAGTTGTTGCCATCTGAGGTTCGTAACACAGAAGCTGGTAACATATAGGAAGGCTCGAAGTAGGCAAAATTGTACTTAGTAAAATGCCAGACAAGTGAGACTAGAACCCAGGCTTCTGTGTGTGTGTGGGGGGTGGGGTGTGTGTGTGTGTGTGTGTGTGTGTGTGTGTGTGTGTGTGTGTAGACTGGAATAAGCACATTCTAAAAAACAAAACACTAGAGTCTATTTATAGGGCAACTGTAGGACTGGCCTCAGAACAAGTCAGTGTCATGTTCTAATCTCTTCTTTTTTAAGAAAGTTACATTTATTTTGTGTGGGTGTGTACACACAGAGGTCAAAGGATAACTTCCAGGAGTTGGTTCCCTCATTGCCTTTGGGTTCAGAGGACTCAGGTCTTCAGCTCGGCAGCAAATGCCTTTACTTGTTGAACCATCTAGCAGGCCTTTATCTTCTTGATTTCTGCACCCCCTTGTTTAATTATATCTTTACTGATAATATGGGTTTCTTTTTATTTAAGTCATTTAAAATCTTTTTTTTTTTTTGTCTTTCTGAGACAGGGTCTCCCTGTAGCCCCAGCTGTCTTAGAACTCACTATGTAGACCAGGCTGGCCTTGAACTCACAGAGATCTGCCTGCCTCTGTCTCCTGAGTGCTGGGATTAAAGGCGTGCACCACCATGCCCGACTGATTTCTGCTTTCTTAAATGTACAAGTTCTTGAAAAAAGTTTTAGTTTTATCAGCTGTACTCATACAACACCTTGGCTTAAGGGTTTAAACAAAAGCAGGGTGCCAAATTGTTTTTCTTAGAATACTGGCAAGAATTCCTAGTATTCTTCTTAATCCTAATTCCGTTAAAATTGTAAGGAAATTTTTGTAAATTACAGACTTAGAAACAAGAAGGCGTTCACCCTGAGGTGAAAACTATCAGCCATTTATCTGAGTAATATTATTTGACTTTCTTCTCTTCTTTAATTTGTGTTCCAGTTTCTGTATTTCAGCCTTCTAACACTACTCTTCTTTTTGATCCAGTCTTTGTGTTCTGAGAATTCTCTGCTGATTGTAGCAGCTGCATGGCAGATCAAAATTTACAGAAAGCTAGTTCTGAAACTAACTCAGCTCATATGAGACCACCCTGTGCAGGTAGCACTTTGTTTCTGTCTGCTGTGCATTGGAGAAGACTGCCTCCCTTTTCTTAGGCTAAATATAAATTATTGGAATATCGCTTATAATTCCCATTGGCACATTTTGCCACTTCTTTTCCAACAAATTAAGAGTGCATTCAGGGCTGGGGATGTAACACAATTTGGTAGAGTGCTTGCCTAGCATCCAAGAAGCTCTGGGTTGGACTCCCAGCACTGCATAAACCTGCAGTCCCTGCACTGGGAGGGGCAAGCAGGAGGATCAGAAGTTCAAGGTTATCTTCAGCTATGTAGGGAGTTTGAAGTCAACCTGGGATACATGAGATCCTGTCTCAAAAAAAAAATCTATTTATTTATCAGGCTTTGTTTTGAAGGTTTGGAAATTGCTCTTTGAAGCTGAAGGTTGAATCAGAACAACTTTATGGACATGAAAGTGTCCTCATGTCAACCTTGAGGATTTATTTACATGTTTTCAGATGCATTTTTTCCTGTCTTTCTCCCTTCTCTGATCTCTGTCTTCTATTAAGTAGAGCCAGCTGACCAAATGGGCGGGGAGGGACCCATTCCAACTCACTCAAATCTTAAGCCTTATTTGGCAAACAAGATTCTTCAACTTTTTTTTCGGAGCAAATTGGTCTTGCCTGTTTTAGGTTCTTTGACCACTATGTGACGTACTCTCTTCTTGATATCTGTGAGTCCTTTCTGCTGAGCAGAGAGCCTGGACAGCAACTACTGGTCTACTATCTTTGTTTTGTAACCTGCAGGCAATTTAGGCCTCCTGGCCTTTTTCAAGGAGCCTCCTTTGCTAACAACTAAGACATAATTCTGCTCTGTCTTTTGGAAAATGCAACAGGTAGAATCCTGTTTGCCTCTGATTTGTAGTTGTTTTATGTGATACCTTTAACTCTTGTGTTATGTTACTGTAAATCACAGCTATAGCACCTTAAAGTAGTACCTTGACAGATGAGCTTGTGAAAGATTTATTTCCTCCTTTTTTCTAGAGTTGATGCCCTTCTTGGTCATCTTCATGCTGTGGTTTGAAGCCATTGATTAGGGAAAGGGAAACTTTAATTCAGTCTTCAGTAAAATCACTATTGATCCAGTTAAATTTGCAGTTCTGTTTGCTTCTTTCCTCTGTTTCATCATTTGGGCCCATTAAAAAACTGCAAGGTTAGTAAATGCCTTTTTGACTAAGAGGACTTTATCTTTTTAAATTGCAGGTTCCATTACAGCTTATAGAAAGTGTTGAATGCCGTGATATATTTCAGCTTCATTTGACTTGCAAAGACTGCAAAGTTATCCGGTAAGTGGTATGTTTGTGAGGCTGTTAAGTTTGAAATTGTTAGAAAGCCAGGTGTGGTGGCATGTGCCTTTAATCCAAGCACTTGGGAGGCAGAAGGTAGGTGGATCTCTGTGAGTTCAAGGCTAGCCTGGTCTGCAAAGTGAGTTCTAGGCCAGCCAGGGCTACATAGTAAGGCCCTGTCTCAAATAAACAAGCAAAATAAACAAAAAAAGAATTGTCACGTAGTTTGTTGGCAAAAGTCTTTTAAAAATTATTTTTATTTTATGTGTATGAGTGTATTTCCTGCATGTATTTAAGTGCACCCGTGTCATACAATGCCTGCGGAGCTCAGAAGAGAGCATCAGATTACCCTGGAATGGAGTTACAGACAGTTGTTAGCTGCCATGTGGGTGCTGGGAATCGAGCCCAGGTCCTCTGCAAGAGCAACCAGTGCTCTTAACCATTGAGCGAACTCTGCAGCCCCAGCAAAATAATTTTTGAGGGTTAACCTTGTTAGGAATAATTTAGAAGCAGTGAGTCCCTGAAATATTGTATTTTTAGGGAATATTGCTATGTGAACAGATGCTTTTTATTTGGAAATAATTTTAAATATATAAAAACTACAAAACTAAAATAATGGGAAATAATTGAGGCCTGCCTGGTCTACTTAGTGAGTTCCAGACCATCTGGGGCTACAGGGAGGCCCTGTCTCAAAAAACAAAACAAAAAAATAGTATATTATTTATCTCAGTTCATCTGTTGTTAATACTTCACCCAAATTTACTTTATCATTTGCAGAGTGCTCTCTCTCTCTCTCTCTCTCTCTCTCTCTCTCTCTCTCTCTCTCGTCTCTATGGATGAGAGAGAAATTGTTTCTGAAAAAATTAGAGAGTAAGTTGCATAAGCTTGACTCTTCAACCTCAAAATACTTTAGGAATATTTTAAGTATATATAAAAAAACAGGGATTAAAAAAATAACCAGATGTCACTGTTCATAATTTTATAACTTTACAGTGAGATATACTAAAAATTACCATTAATAATAGAATTGATTTTTCTTCTCTGTGTGGTTGTAGCTGAAGGTTTGAGTGTCCTTCATTGGATCTGAAGGTACAGATTTGTCCTAATTGCTAAATAGACAAATTTTAAAGTATTCCCTAACTGGCTGCAGATAGTTGTGGTTTATTTTTTAAGGTCGCCTATTACAACAAAAGAAAAAGGGCTTTTCTAAACATATTTCTTGAGACAACTGTAAAACTAGTTGAAGAAGTAGAATGAAACTTCATCAAAGAGAATAATTACTGTTTTACTTTAATAATTATCATTAATCAGCTTCAGAAGAGATTTATTTCATTAGATTAAAATAATGGATTTTCCACATGTCCAACATCCTTTTACTTTTTGACATATTTTTGACTTTGGCTAAAAAGTTTGTTGGATCTGTTTTTATTGTAAGTGGTAGTGAATGACTGCCTCTAATGCTTTTCTGCTTTTGAAATGATGGGTGTTCTTAGACTTCATCACCAATTGTCATTTGATTACATTTATACCTGTTTTGTTTTACAAAGGTGTCAGTTCCCAACCTTTGAGCAGTGTCAAGATTGGCTTAAGAGACTGAACAATGCAATCCGACCTCCTGGTAAAATAGAAGATCTCTTCTCATTTGCATACCATGCTTGGTGCATGGAGGTCTATGCCAGTGAAAAAGAGCAACATGGAGACTTATGCAGACCAGGTAGGCCTTTTGAAATGTTCATATGGACAGATTCATTATCAACCTTTGCTTGGAGGTGCCTTTATCATGAAATGAGATCCAGTACTCATTTATTCAGTTGGTGTATATTTTATGGAATGTTTCCATTCTAAGTTTTTTAAAAGTACATGTATGGCTGGGTGTGCTGGTGCATGCCTTTAATCCCAGCACTTGGGAGGCAGAGGGAGGCAGATCTTTGTGGGTTCAAGGCCAGCCTGGTCTACATAGTGAGTTCCAGGACAGCTGGGGCTACAGGGGGAGAGACCCTGTCTCAAAAAGACCAAAAAAAAAAAAAAAAAATAGTACATGTATTATTTTTATGTGTATGAGTATTTGGCCAACGTGTATATAAGTACACCACATGTGTGCAATGCCTGCAGAGACCAGAAGAGGGTATCAGATCCCTTGGATCTGGAGTTATGGATGGTTGTTAGCTGCCATGTGGGTGCTGGGAACCAAACCTGAGTTCTGTGGAAGAACAGCAAGTGTTCTTAACTGCTAAGCCATCTCTCCATTGTAAGTTTAATAAGACATGTCTCCTGTCTCCGAGGAGAAGGGAAGAAGATTAGATTTGGCACTATAGTCTCCTAGGCCTACAACAGCTATACAAAGGTTTGTGGGTATTGTAGAACCCTAATGGAAAGAAGATGTGCATTTTGTTCATTTGGAAAGATTTCATGTTAAGGTGGCATCTGAGTCGGCTTTGAAAGTTGAACTTGAGTTCATTGGCTAGAGAGTGGGGGAAAGAACAGTAGACAACCAATAGCATGAACAGAAGAACATGGGTGTGAGGACAGGGAGCAGTACAAAACAAAATGGCCTTCCACTGTTGTAGCATTTGCAAGTTATGGATTACCTATTGTCTCTCCTTTAAGCTCACGGATGAAGAAACAGAGATCTAGAGGAGGGCAAGTATCTTCCTCAAGGGTAAAAACAGGCACTGAGCCTGACTTCTTATATAATCTTTGTCTCATTCAGTGTCCCTCCTTCTGAAACAGCTTTCACTAAGGTCTTATTTCACTGCACGTAGTTTTCTGTAAACTTCGTGCTGCCTTAAATAGAACCTGGTTGAGCATTAGCATTTCAGTATATCAGATTCAAAGTTTTGAGTTAATAAGGAGTGAAAAGCTTTGAGCTTCTTTCAAGTAAAATTTACTTTTTAGACATCGTTCTTTAAGCCATTTAATCTTGAATCTTCGATCTTAGAGGTCTTTCCTGGATAATTTTGAATATTTGAGGCACATTTAACTATATGACATCACTTTGTTTCCCGTTTCCATCACTGATTGAAGTTTTTGATTTACATACTTGTTCTGTTTAACTAAAACACTTAAAACAGTGCTCAGAAGTTAAGAGCACTAGCTTTTCTTGTAGAAGACATGGGTTTGAATCCCAGCACCCACACAGCAGCTAACAGCCATCCACAACTCCAGTTCCAGTGGATCTGACACCCTCTTCTGTCCTCCTTGGGTACTGCATGACATGGTGCACTTATATACATGCAAGCAATACACTCATATACATAAAATAAAAATAATAAAATATTAAAAATAAAACTTAAAACAGACATAAGTATTCATATCCTCTCTCCTTCCCTCCCCCTTTCTCTCCATCCCTCTTTCCTGTCCTCTCTCTGTGGTACTGAGGATTTAACCTAGGGCTTTGTGCTTGCTAGGCAAGCACTCTCCCCTTGAGCTGTCCTCACTTCCTTCCCTTTTTTAAAACTTAAAAGTTTGAGACAGGGTTTCCTTGAGTTACCCAGGCTAGCCTTAGGATCCAGGCAGGATTTGAGTTTGCTATTTTGTTGTCTCAACCTTTTGAGTAGACAGGATTATACAGTTTTGTGTTTTTGGGGGGGAGGGTCTTTTTGAGACAGGGTCTCCCTGTAGCCCCAGCTGTCATGGAACTCACTATGTAGACTAGGCTGGCCTTGAATGCACAGAGATCTGCCTGCCTCTGCCTCCCGAGTGCTGGGATTAGAGGTGAGCGCCACCACGCCTGGCAAGTTTTGTGTTTTAAGGCCTGGAACATTATCTTCTTTTGAAAGATTATTTACAGTACACTTTTGCATCATTTTCATGACCTTGTAAAACAGGCAGGATAGCTTGGTGTCTCTTTGGGAATCAAAGAATGAAGACTCATTAAAAGGTAATCTCAGAGTTAAAAAAACCTGTTGCCAAGTCCCATTGCTAGCCAGTAACAAAGATAGGGTATAAAACTAGGTATTGAGAGCCAACTGTGTGGGATGCTGTTGATACAGAGCTTGAAAACCAGAGGTACATTTTCTTGTGGAGCATCAGGGAAAGCCTCAGAGTCCAGACTTTTCCCAAGCTTGTTCAAGCCAGTAGATCCCAGAGTTATGACCCAGAGACCACCACATCAACCCTAAACATATACATGAAAGTGCTTAATTTCTCACTTTACTTTCTTAGCCACTTTTCTCTCCCTTCTTTTCTCCCTCCCTTCTCCCTCCCTTCCCTCTCCCTTCCCTCTCCCTTCCTCCCTCCTGTTTTATTAAAATACCATCTTGTTGGGGGGGGTGCTAGGTACTGAACCCTAGACCTGACATAAGCTAGTGTAATAGTTTGAAATACCATCATGTTTTGCCCATTAGGGAGGGAAGAGGGTGTGTGTGTGTGTGTGTGTGTGTGTGTGTGTGTGTGTGTTGTGTGTGTCTGTCTGTCTGTCTGTCTGTCTGTCACACATAAATGTGTATGTAGTTGCATATGGAGGCCAAAGGTTGACCCCAAGTAGATGTCTTCTTCTATTGCCATCCACTTTGTTGTTGTTGTTGTTGGTAGTTGTAGGGGTTTTTTAGTTGTTTTTTTTTTTCTGTTTCTGGGACAGTGTCCCATTATATAGCCCCACCTGCCCTGGAACTCACAATGTAGACCATCCCAGGCCTGCCTCAATCTCACAGAGATGTGCCTGCCTCTGCCTCCCAAGTGCTAGGATTAAAGGCATGCAACACCATGCCCAGCCCCTGTCCAATTACTTTTTGAGATAGGATCTGTCACTGAATGTGGATCTCACCAATTCAACCAGACTAGCTGGCCAACAAGTTCCAGCAATCCTTCTCTCTCCACCTCCCCAGAGCTAGAATTGCAGGCATTTGCCATCATGCCCTGCTTTTTACATGGGTGCTGGGAATCCAAACTCAGGTCCTCATGCTTGCCCAGCAAGTACTTTTACTGTCGTGAGCCATTGCTCCATTCCCAATATCTGGTATTCTTTGGCCACCATTATAGTTATCTAGTATCTTCTCTCCTTTGATGGGCAAGTGAAACATGGGGGCATCTAGTGGGTAAAATACTAATTTTAGAATTTAGAAGACTGAATTCAAACCTATCCCTTGCTTTTCAATAGAAAATAATTCCAGGAAATACATTTATCCTTTCTGCATTTCAGTTTTCTTTGTTCATCAAACTGGAACATTCATATTTTTCTTGTCCAAACTGGTGTGTATCTTGAAGATCAAGTGTGTTATGCTGCAGCGTTCAGTTCAGTCCTATATGCCATGCTTATGAAAAATCTTTGGAAATTTTATAGCTACATCATAGGGCAGTCATAATTGATTGGTTAGGAATTCTCTAGGATTAATTGTAGGTTGCATTTTCAAAATACATAGTCCACATTGATGTTAACCTGCTACCACTTACATGGAATTTCATTTATATTGCTTGGGGGCAGAGGTTGTTGAGGTTTTGTTCTTTTTATATATTTTTGCAGTGTAATACAAGGGGAAAATTTGCTTTTGATTGAAAAATACTGTGGTGGTGGGCCAGGTGTTATGGAGCATACCTTTAGTCCCAGCACCCAGGAGGCAGAGGCAGGCAGAGCTCCGTGAGTTTAAGTACAACCTGATCTACATAGTGAGTTCCTGACCAGCCAGGGCTACATAGTGAGACACGTCTCCAAAAAACAAGCTATGGTGACATTTTTCAATCTAACCAATCTGATTCTTCTGCCTCCCCAATTGTGTTGCGTATTGATGGCTGCTGCATTACTCACCAAATATGAACATACCAGACAACCACGTTCTTAAAGTTTCAGGGGTAAGGCAGCATGTAAGATCTTTCAGAGTGAAACTACAAGCATAGACTCCAAGTTATAGAAGTTAATCTAGTCTTTTAGCAGTTTGTAGAACCTTTTAGGAGTTTTCCCACCTCTCCTGGTAAGGATAGAATGTATCAGATAGCAGGGAGCTGGGATGATTGTGTCATTGCCTTGGTGTTCCTATAAATTTTAGTGTCTGTTGAGCCTGTCACAGTTCAGCCAGTCATATTGTGCCCACAGCTCTAGGTCTTAATCAGCTTTGGAAAAGGTCTCAGGCATTGCAGTGGGAATTCATTTGTGAAACCTGAAAGTCTTTGTTAATGCCTAACTCTATTTTAGCCCCATCTCAAACTTGGGCAAATAATGCACTCAAAGCTGCAACTTTCTCTCCATGTCTTCATCTTTGATAATAGTTACTTTTCTCATTGCTATAACAAAATACCTGACAAAAGAAACTTAAGGAAGGGTTTATTTCAGCTCACAGTTCGAAAGTACCCCCCTATCATGGTGAGGCAGTCATGGTAGCAGGAACTTGAGGCAGTTGGTCATATTGTATCTGCAGTCAGGAAGCAGAGAACAATGAATGCTCAGCTTACGTTCTCCTTTTTAAATCCATCCAAGACCCCAGTCCATGGAATGGTGCTACCCACAGTGGGCATATATCCTAGTTTGCTTCTGTTGCTTTTATAAAATACTGACCAAAACCAACTTGGGGAAGAAAGGGTTTATTTCAGCTTACAATTCCTAGGTCACAATCCATCACTGAAGAAAGTGAAGGTAGGAGCTCAAGGCAAGAATCTGGAGACAGGAACTGAAACAGAGACCATAGAGGAACACTGCTTACCGGCTTGCTTCCTCTGGCTTATTCAGTTACCCTCCTTATGCAGCACAGGCTCACCTCTTCAGGAATGACACTGTCCACAGTG